CTGCTGAGTAGCTGAGAAGAGGCAGGAAGAGGACTGCTTACAAGCCTGAACCCAGGCACTAGGCAGACCTTGTGTAAATCCTGGCCATGCCCCTTACAAAGTGATAACTGACATCCTCTCCTGAGAGTTTCTGTCTATATGTCGGCACCTGTCTTAAAGGGAGGATGCGAAGATTAAATAGGATGATGTGTATAAACTGTTGAGTGCTGACCCTGGCACATTTTTTTTTTTGGAGAGATTTTCACTGTAGGGCGCGTGCGCTCGCCAGACAGACAGAGACATAGAGACAGAAAGCAAGAAATCACCCCCCCAGGGGGGATGGTCACGCCGCAATCCCTTCTCCTCCATTCTCCTCTCGGGATCTTGGGCACGCACGCACACGCGCCCGGCGTGAGTTTTAAGCCACTGGGTCCGGGACACGAACCGCGGTCGACTATGTGGGAGTCCAGCGACATAGCCATTACGCTAACTGCTGGTTCCCGGCCCTGGCACATTTTAAGTGCACAATAAAAGGAATCAATTATCAGCCACAACCCCATCCTTTTCTTTCTTACTAAAGAAAATATCATCTCTGATCACCTTCAGAATTTTAACAATTATTGTAATTATTTTTGAATTGCCTCAAGACTGACAACATGAATCCCAACATAATATGTGAAACCACCATACCAGTTAACTTCCCTGAAGCATCTATGAGTCTAGAACATTATACTGGGATCTGAAAAATGAATCTAGGTTGCCAGTATTGATAAGGCAAGAAAGGACTTCCAAGAGGGAAGAGGATGTGTAAAGGCTTTAAGCTACAAACAGGTTGTGTTTTCTTTGAGGAACTGGCTGGAGAACCACAGAGATCAGCAAGAAAAGAGGCTAGGAAACCTTATCATAGAGGGTCATGGCATGAGCAGATGCTCTGGGAAACTTGTTGCCTCCAGAAGATTGTGAACCCCATTTTACAGATGAAGAAAATAAGGCCTAGGAAGTCTGGTGTCTTATACAAAGGTAAAAAAGCCAAGCCAGGTTGGCCTGTCTCAAAAGCCAATGGTCTAGTATAACAAATGTCTCTCCCCTGGGTTCTAAAACGGACATCACTGGCATATGCTTCCTGACCCACAAATCACATGGTTCTTGCGAGTAAGAACAATCCCAACTTTGGGTTGCATGTTTAGTATGGAACAGTGATGAGCAGCTGTTAAGGTTAGTGGCTTCTGGGACCAGCAGATGGCTTAATGGTTATGTCACTGGACTCCCACAAAGCCAGCCACAATGGCTTGAAACTCATGCTGGGTATGTCTGTGCCCAACGTCGTGAGAGGAGACGGGAGGAGAAAGGATGGTGGCTTAGCCATTCCCCCTGGGGGATGATTTCTCACTTTCTGTCTCTGTGTCTTGGCAAGTGCATGCACCCTACAGCAAAAAATCTCTCTCTCAAAAAAAAAAAAGATGTGGTGGCTCCTACCTATTTTCTCTGATGATTAAAAAAAGAAAAAAGTTTTGAGAAAGGATCAGTTCTGAAGACAAAGTAGACAGCTGTGTCATAAGTAAATTCTTCCGGATTCAGCTATTTTAAGGAATTCTCAAAATAAAAATGATCCTGATTACTACCATTATTAAACTCCTCTATGCCAGGTGAGTACTTTAAATGTTACCTCACTGATCCTAACAACGATTCTCTAAATAGGATTTTAATAACCCCCACTTTCCAATGAGGAAATTGAGTCTTAAAGATGCTAAGTGATTTACCCAGAAGCTTACGTGCCACAACTGGGATTCAAATCCAGATCTCTCTGGTCTATATTCTTTCCACTACTCCATGCTGGCTACCCCTTGTAATCTATTTCAAATAAATCATGCACCGTTACCATTACTTTGCTTCCATACAAAAACCTTTTCAAAGTCAGTAATATGAATCTTGGGACTGAAAAGGACAAAACCACCATGTCAGGAGTTTAGGGATTTGGATCAGATTTTGTTACTTTTATGGTTTTTAATTCACTGAACAAAAATCATGCTGACATGTTTAGACGTCTTTTTTGTTCTGCCAAAGCATATGTCAGTATAAAGGAATAGGAAAATTAAAACTTGATCCGCTGATTCAAAAAACTTAATGCTGAAATACTAGGAGGGACAGAAAATAAATGAATCTAAGATCCGTAAGAAACCTCTTAAACGTCTCTAAACATATCTTATGGTATTTTAATTTCGTATTTTTATACAGATCATCTGAAATAGGTATCTTACTATTTAGAAAACACTTAATAAAAGTAAAAATTTTATCTAACTAACTTTTCTTTCCACAACATTGTTACATTTAAATGGAGGGGAAAATACATATAAAAATATAAATTGGAGCTAAAAGAAAGTAAAAGGTATATAAAGGAAACAAAATCATAATAAATGCAACTTGGCCTTACTAAAATGACTATGTATTTATGAATGCAAATGTGACACTGCCATACTACCAACACCAGGGAGTTCCCGAACATATAACACCGTCAGGTTGTTACTGACACTGACAAAATGTTTCTGGTTTAGGTAACTAAAATACTGGATCATCTGAAAAGTCATGAAATATTTTTCTGGTTTTCTATGCAAAAATGCATTATGACTTTTCTTATGACCCAGTATAAGATCAGGAGCCAGCTGGTGGTGTGGTGGTTAGGATGACTGGATATCACATGACAGAATGTGTGAGGGGCCTGGTGGCTTGAAAAACACTCTAAGTACATGCACATGTGTGCCCAAAATCCTGAAAGGAGAGGCGAATTCAGCATGGCAACCCCCCATGGCAGTGCTTTCTCGCTTTCCCTCTGTCACACTCCAGCATGCACCGATAGATTAGACAGAGAGATAAAACTGTGAGATCACAAGCAGTGAGATGGTGGCGAGGCACTAGCTTTGAAATCAGACAGACTTCCCTCCCAGCTCACACAGAAGCTGACAATCCTTGAGTGAGCTACTTAATCTTTCTGAGCCTCAGAGTCCTTATTTCTAAAATGAAGATAAAAAAAGATACCTTACAGGGCCGGAAGGTGGCGTGGTGGTCAAGGGTCCTCTACTCCCACATGGCTGACTACAGTTCAAGTCCCAGACATGGCAGCTTGCTTTCTTACTTTCTCTCTCTCACTCACTCTCTCTGTCCCTCTCTGGTGAAATTTAAAAGTTAATTAATTAATTAATTCTTAAAAAAAAGAAAAAGATACCTCACAGGGTGACTGGGAGGAGCAGACATAATAAATACAAAGTACCAATAAAGAGAACAGCATATAGTAGCTTTAAATGAATGATAGCATTTATGAATGTTTAATCAAACACACATAATTACTTCCTCATGAAACAAGGAGGGCATGTCTATTTTAGAAAAGAAACACATTACATTACGGAAATACTTTAATTCCTATCCAAACCAGTGATTACCTCTGATCATCTCCGCCTAGCATTCACGGGATTCTGGGGGCATACGCTGGAG